GGACTACAGCTCTCAGAATCCCCTAGCCAGAATCATGAAGGCTGATGGGTTCTGAGAGCCATAGTAATAAAAGCAATATTTCCAGTCTCTGGCTGAAGGAGCACAGGGAGTAGTGGAATAAAGGGTCAGAGGGTTGGGCCACTGGCACATGCTGATGAGCAAATACAAAAGACCCTGTGCCAACAGAATCCCATGTGGTTTCCTTATTCCCTCAGAATTTTGCTGCCCTTCTTACTATAGCTGGAGATCAGAGAATTATGTTTTCTAGGAACCAGATAGTATACTGAGTTGTCTTTATTATAATAGAAAGTATTTTGGTCTCTTCTGGCCTTGGATGGGCAATGAAGATCCATTCACTTTATCAAAGATTAGATGGGGAGAAAGGAGCAGTCTACTGAGCCATGATTCCTATTTTAGTACAAGCATTTGGGGATATCAATCCGCTTCCTCAGATGCAATCCACAAAAGCTCATATAGAAATCAGTTCATCTTAAAGGACCTGGAAATCCCTTCTCCCCCCCCCCATTTTCCCTTCCCTTTTCCTTTGCATTCATTCTCTAATGTGAATTATAATTGTTCTTGTTCTGTGCCTTTTCTTTTCTGCAGAATGGGGAGTCCAGTGGAAATTTTCCAGAGTTGAAAGGGCAGAGTATGGAAGGCTCATATTGTATGGTTCCCATATGACCAGATTAGCCAAATTAAATCTCAATTCTAGGTATTCTACCTAGTACTCATTAGGATGTTTGGCTGACCCAAATTCTAACTTTTCATTTTCATTTTTTTTTAGAGCATGTCTCTAGTCCATTTGGAAGTGGAGATTAGCAGCAGAAAAGGATATTCTAGTTTTCTTGAGAAAGAGCTTGCTTTTGCTATCCCAGCATCCCTGGTAGATAAAACTCTTTAAGTAAAGCCAGATGCTTACTGTGGGTCTTTAAAAGACTGTGGGCCTTTACTGTAGGCTCAATAAAACAGAATTCTCAATGTCTGCATTTCCTTTCTGGCCATTACTGTTTGTTTCAATTCATGATTATTACTGAAAATAATTGTGTCTTTTAAAAAAGGATCTACACCAAGTGTCAAAATACTAGGTACACCACTGAAAGATGGAACTATTTCACAAGATGTATAACTATCCTAACTTTAATTGTTCTAAATGGAAGACACTATAGTTTATTGCCCAGCACAGACACACCTATAATTTTGGAGGGGTAGAGAAGATATTTTATTTAAAAAGAGAAGAGAAGAATTCCCATTGTGTTGATCTCTCTTGGTTTTCAAGGAGAGCAGCTCCAAACTCTCACAGAATAATTGCATTAGGCCTGACATGTAGTTGCACATCTGCCACATTCATGGAAATGATATGCAAATTATGTTAATTAAAGGCAACTAAAATGCACACATTAGCAGTGGTATCCTGGCAGGATATATTTCCATTGCAGTCCATGCTTGATGCTGAATGAGTACTACAAGACTGAGCTATAGTGCATAGCTTAACAGAACATTTTTGCAGCTGGGAATATATTTCTGTCTTCTTACCTCCCAACACCCCCCTTACCAGCCCCAAAAGACAGCCAAACAGAGAGCTGCCAGTCAAAACATACTTGTTCCTTTATTCACACAGTTGCATTCTATCTCCACACTCCCTCTTACTCTAACAACAGATTTTACTTTTGAATACTAAGGGTTAAGGGGGGAACCAAGTTGCCAAAAATGACAGAAATATTATTGGAAAGATCTTTTGCTGTTAAGCCCTGGTGGCACAGTGGTTAAATGCCTCACAAACCATAAGGGCTCAGCTCAGGCTTGCATCCTTCCGAGGTCACTAAAATAAGTGCCTAGCTTGTTGGGGGCAATTAGTTTACACATTGTAAACTGCTTAGGGAATGCTTAAGTGCACTGATAAGCGGTATAGAAATGTACTTGCTATTGCTATTAATCACAGCGTATCTGTAGGAGACAAAAGAAATTTTGGAAACTTCAAAAGTTTAGAATTTTATCAAAGAGGTATCATGTGCCTTACAATACATATATTTTAATCACAGCCACTTATGAACAACCAGCATGCACAGAGAGAGCTAGAGAGACAGGACGTTATTACATGGGGGAAATCTATAGGTTATCCCACACAAATCCCCCCAAAAAAGTGCACTTACACCTAATGATTTCATAAAACATCGCACAGAAACTGACATTAAAGTGGTCACAAAGTGGTATTATCCGAGATCTTTTTTAGTTTCAGGAGTTTAGAGGAAATCCATTTGCAATACTACAGTAATTGTGCATTTACTGTAGTGTGAAATTCAAATTCGCACAAA